ACGAACAAATTGTCATTTTTGACGAGAATATTATGACCACGTAGGAGCAGGGTTTTGAAGAAAATGTGTACGAGTTGGCTTGATGGCAGTGGCATCGGTTGACAACGATTTTGAGACGCCACGGGTCCGTTTAAATCGAGGTGGGTATACGGTTTGGTTAAGACAGATATACTATAGTGGCGGATTTTCCACGTTTTTCTGGGAGAGTTCTTGAAAAACCGTGTGTATCGTAAATATAAACCGTCGTTTATCGCTTTTCGATTGATATAATCTATCTATTTTCGAGTAGACGAAAAGACCATGAACTAACCGGTTTCGTTGAAGATTAAAATTAGACGGTCAAGTGTTGTGGCTGAACAAGGAATAAAAACGTGTACGGAAACTTCGTAGTAAAATACGAACATAAATTATTATATTAATTAATTTTACCATAGCGCTCCCGTTCGGACGTACGACGATTTGGAGAGGCTCCGCGTTCGTGTCGGCCGGTTGCCTAATATAATGTATTTACGTTGTCGTACGTCTCAGTTCATTTGCTTCATTGACCTAGTAACGCATTTACACACACACGATAATATCTATTAATAGATGTCTATTTTTTTTTTTAAACGACATTTTATTGACATAGTATCGGTGCTGAAGGGGTGTGGTTGGTCCCATAAATCCGCCACTAGACAGGTTTATATTTTAACAGTATAAATTACACACTGTTTAATAATACTCGAAAAATAATTAAATAAAGAGCAATGAAAAAGGATATTGTAAAACGTCATAATACACGTACGTAACACGCGTATTTTGTATCCAGGTTTCGGTATTCGGTAGATTTTGTACGTTTTAGTGGATATTGCCGTAGAATATCTAGTAGGTTAATGAAAATCTTGGCTCCTCGGGAAAAAAAAATTCAACACGCCACCGCTGTTGCGTATAAAACTTCTACGAGATCACTTTAGAACGTGACTAACTATAAAATATATTTTTGGAAAACGACGACGGTAAACATATAGATAATAATATCATCTAGAGTATTATCAATGTTTTATAATAAAATGAATAATATATAAAACGAAAAAATCGAACACATTATATAGAGCAAAATTACTTTTTATGCTTAAAATTCGTAGCGTTTATATTGAATAATAACAGTTGAAGAGAGTTCAAACAAAGATAAACATATGAAATAAGAATACTCTCGACGACACCAGGTACAACTTCTTTATATAAACGCTGTCGAACATAAAAGTTAGTTTTTTTTTAAATAATTGTATTAATATAATATTTGTTAAAAAAAAAAAAAAGTAATTATATTGTTTAATTTATCAAATATTGGTCAATGGTGATTGCCAGAAAAATAATAATTTTATTTTCATCAAAAGCCCGAACACGATACTTTATACATAGTATATAGTTTCGAATCGAAGCACGGCGGTTCGAATCCCACTGGTCGTGTACAAATCTTTAATTATATACATTATGTATGCAGAAGAAAAATAATAATGGTAAAAAAAATTTCCGAGGGAGGGAGGAATTACCAATACTGGCTATACTATGCTCAACAATGTGCGTTTACCTGTTTTACAAAAATCAAAAAGCTCGTTTCTCGTTGACATTGTACTACGCCATTTGTACGTCATCTGTTGATAGATTAAACAAACAATTTTCTTGTTTCTGTTTTTTAGATTCTGAGTGGAGTGAAGAAATTTATGGTTTTACAATGGTGTTAATTTTTTTTTTTTAAATCTGTAAACAACTTTTCTACTAGAAATATTGTACCGATTGACAAGTGTAGTACTTTTCCTAAAAGAAAATTTGACTGGGGAGGTACTTTAAGGAGGTCATTTTTCATTTTCCCAGGAGTTTTCGCAATAAATGGGCAAAACGTATGAAAAACGGGAAAATAAGTACAATATTAAACAAATATTATTAAAAAAGAATGGGAATACTTCGCACGTGGGTGCAGCCACTGTTGTAAGTGGGAAGTTCGAAAGGGAATGGATAGCTGCAGATGGGAATTAAATGTATACCTGTTAGCAACGATAAACCATTGTTAACAAAAAAAACGATTCTCAGCCGAGCTCAGTAGATAATGTTGCTCTGTCAACATTATAATATATGGTATTATGTTATATTATGGTAAAATTATTAAAACAATGTGCGTTTCCATGACAACAATGATTGTTTAAAAAAGATTGAAATAATAAAAACTTTATAATAACAAAAAATAAATAAAAACTGTTGTCAATGACAACCTTAATTTAATCATTCAATCTTTTTAACCTAAAGATCGAGGTTTTCCTCATTATCTCGAATATTAATAGGAATTTCAAAAAATTACCTCTTTAAAGTATCACCCAGAGAAAATTTCTTTTCAGAAAAGGATACTTGATAATCGGAGTATGCTTTCTGGTAAAAAAAGTGTTCACACACACAAAAAAAATAATAAACATCATTGTAAAACCAATACATTCCTCGTTCCACTTTGAATCTAAAAGGTATAAAATTTGATATTGTTGATAAAGCAACATTATCAACAAAACTCCGTTCAGAATCGTATTTTCGTTAGTAATGGTTTATCGTTGTTTACAGATGTACGTTAAATTACCTGTAACAGTGACTGCACCCGTCCCTATTATCCTCGCGGACAGCTTTTGTTTTTATCTATGTACAAAATAATATAATCAACGTCACGCATCGATCCCGCGAAGATTATTTTTGACATTTTTTGCGTCGTAAAATTATGCGTTGCAGCGCGGGTGAAAAATCGCGTCCATTTTTTTTTTTCGTTTTACGACAATACTTTATTGTTCGTCCTCTTCCGGTATAGTATTATATTTTTGACCGGAACGACGACCGCCCGCTCGGCCCTTCGGACGTCCTCGTGTCCGCGTGCACGCTCCGCCGTCCGAAAGGAATTCCACGCCCCCTCTTCCAATGACGACCGACGACGACGGTCTTTTCCGGTAAATACATTTTTCGCTGTGACGCGGCATGTGACCGACCCAAAACACGGTACACCCCCCCCCCGAATCGAAAAAATTTCGCGGGTTTTATATTCCCCCGGCAATGGTTACATACCGATTTTACTTTATACCCCTAGAAAACGCGCGTAGATATTTACACAGTTACACAATATAATGATATTATTATCGTATTGAAATTGGTCAATTCGTTTCTCTTCGTTTGGAAAATCCACAATGATAAAAATTAACGTCATTCGAGAGTGCACGTGATAATCATAAAATAAGGATACAATTTTCGATTCTGAGCGAAGCGAGAAATGTATCAATTTTACAATGTTTTTTTTTTTTTTTTTTTTTTTTTTATCTGTGGATAACTTTTACCAGTGATTTTGCTTCGATCTACATTGATAGCACTTTATCTGAAAAGAAATCTAACTGGGGAGGTACTATAAGGAGGTCATTTTTTGAATTAGGGGTTTCTGCAATAAATGGGGAAAAAACGGGAAACCGTATAAAATGTACAGTGTAAAATTTTTTTAAGTGAAACTTCATATAGCTTTTAGAGGGATTAACCTTTTAGGGTGACCATTCTTGCACCATTAGACCGTTAAGACCTACCTCGCTACGTGCATTTTTAAAAAAAAGTGTAGTTCTTAAAGTGTTAATTATCGTTAAAAACGGGTGAAGCCGTAACGCGGAAAGCTTTTTTTTTGTAGTAGAATAGTATAATTATTTCTGTTGTGTAAATTGTTAACATGCATTGTGTTTTAGTATACCAGGGGTGGCCAAACGATCGACCGGTAGAACACGGACGGTTTAAATGTCGATCTCCCTTTTTAAGAACTTATTTTTATAGGTAATCAGTAGACAAATAACAATAATTATTGTTGATTTTTAACTTAATATATCATTATGTTTTTTTCGGATTATCAAGTAATACAATTAAACAGCGTTTATACTGGTAATTGTATTTTTACAATAGACAATAGTATACTGATCTTAATAAAAGTGATGAAAAACATTATTACTTGTACATGTATGTTTATTATTTACACCTATTAGGTAATTTATAATCGTACATTTTCATTAGGATTTCGATTCTCAATGGAAAAATATATTCTTAGTAGATCTCTACTAAAAAATGTTTGGTGACCCCTACACAATAATAAGCGCCGGATAAACTGCTCATGGGTGGATACTACGGCTAGTAAAATCCATAAATAAAAAGGTTCGTTAAGTCTACAAGTTTGACGTAAATTGATATCGCAAGACACGATTATGAGTTAAATGTTTTTTTCGTAAAATTCAAATCTGAACACAATAATGTCGGATATATAAAGGTTTTGATTGTGTGGATTTTCGGGTTATTTGCAGGCTACAAGGGAAAAACACGACTAATACTACTACGCTCAGAATCGATTTTTAATTGAAAAATGTATACTAAGGCGCACAACTTAGAAAAAAAAAAAAAAAAAACACTGAGGAATTTATCCCTATTATTCGCCGCATAACTTATTATATACGAGTATATACGAATTAATTATACGTTAAAAACTAATTTAGCACATAGATATATAACATAACATTGGTTTATAAATCTGTGATTAAGTAAAATGTAAATGTAAATTTTTATTACTTTTGTAAAAATTTTATATCGCACTTTTTTGATATTATCGTCATAAGAAAATTATGTTTACATTGCCCATCACGCATACGGCCGTTGGTTTCAAATGAAAACGTTAGTTAGCTACAGTATCTGGTATTTCATATCTGTGTACAATACATTGATAATATTGGTAATAGCATACTGATTATCGTTAAGTTCCGTCGAACAATTATCGTACCCGACGGTGGTACTTCCGTCAACAACGAGTAAACAACGACGGTTTTCGATACGAGTAAATCGAATATAATAACGGGCGTTCGAGAAACGCAACACAACCGACACGCGCAATGCGTCGCGACCGTACCGGAAGAACACGGGTCATGAGTAGGACTTGAACGCAATAATAACAAAAACAAAAATAATATGTAATAAAATGATAATTATAATATTTGTTTTTTATTTCACGTTTTATGTACAAAAAAAAAAAAAAAAAATCAATAATAATAATAAATAAAATGGGGAAGTGTAATATGTTATTATATATATAAATATATATATATATATATATATAAAAAAAAAACATATCGTTCCTGAGACCGTCCATAAAACATTTGAATACCTTTAATGGGAAAACAAAAAATTTCATTTTACAGAAGTGTCCGCGGAGAGTATATTATTATTATCATATAGTAAGTCAGTCTTTTTAAGCCTACGTATTATTTATACACGTGATTTTTTTTTCAATGTTCTAATATTTTTTCTGATTGATGTTAGTCGTTATTATAACGTTTCGACGAATACAATACAAAAATAATGCCAAAAAAAAAAAAAAAAGTGTTCAATTTCCATATTACAGAAAAAAAAAAAAATTATCTATTACACCGTCGTCGACGCATATTATTATGCAATCAATAATACAATGTAAGATATTACAATAATCATTATAATATTGTATAGAAATTAATAATATAATACGTTTTATATTGTTAATGTCTAAATAGTTAACATAATACGCGATAAATAATCAATAATATCATAATTATGCATAATTATTATTATAATATTATCAAATCGGACGCGATCCGTTACAAAATATGATATGCTGCAATAATATTATTATTATAAATAGTCAAAAATTCGAAAAATCCGAGAGTTTGTTTTTTTTTTTCGAGTTTTTTACACAGCGCATTTTCGTGTACACGATAAAATAAATTAATAATAATAATAATAATAAAAAAAAAAAAAATAATAATAATAATAATAATAATAATGATGATAAAAAATAATAATAAATACACAAAACCCTATTCCACGGGGACTATGATCAGCTAACTAATACAGATGTCCATATTCCCGATGAAACTTTAAATGTGAGCCCAGATAGGTATATATAAATACGAGTATTATATACGTATAGAGAAAAGGTAGCGAGGAGGAAAATGAAAAATCTTAGAAAATGAAAAAAAAAAAAAAAAA